TCATTCATTCATTCATTCATTCATTCATTCATTCATTCATTCATTCATATCCTGCCTTTATCATTTTTACAAGTAACTCAAGGTAGTCCAACACACTTTGCTCCTCCTATTTTTCTCATAACAATAACCTGGTGAGGTGGGTTGGAGCTGGACTCACAGAGAATGACTGGCCCAAAATCATCCAGCCATCTCCTTGTGATTGGCTCAAAGCCACCCAGCTGGCTTTCATGCCTAAGGTGGAACTATAATTCACCCTCTCCTTGTGATTGGCTCAAAGCTACTCAACTCCTTAGCATCAGAGCATGTTAATAATAATAATATAGGAAATACTCTAAATGCTCTGATGATCATTTTGAAAAATCCTTTCTTAGTGAGCCCCTAGAAGCCAAGTGGAACATATGTGCCAAATTTCAAGTTTGTAGGCTTTACGGTTCTGTAGATTTTGTGATATATAGATTAGATGAACTTGCCAGAGTCTTGATACCTACTTGAAAACCATTAACGCCAATGTGTGGAACGGGGAAAATTTGGCTAGCTTTGAGAAGGGATGTCTTTCTATGATCTTAAGAAGACTGCACAGCATTTTAGACCTGATTGCAAAAAGTTGCTTTAGAGTGCACACAATACCTCTCTCTGTAACCCCTTAAGGCAGCTAAGTCTTTTCCAGGCTGGATAGCAGCAGACGGTACCCCAGGACAAGATGCAGCTGCTTAAAGAAAACTACTTTAAAAAGTTTGACCATTTGTAGACTCCAGTGTATTTCTGAAATTCTACTGTCTTAAATCTGTATTCCTGACCAAGCAAATTTTAGAATTTAGCTGTTAGGCTACAATCCTATCAAACTTCCCTGAGAACAAGCTTCGCTGAACTCGATGGGATTTTTTTTCCCTAAGTAGCTAAATTTTAGCGCTGCATTGTTAGACTCTTTATCTTAATGTAACGTACCTTAAGAATATGAGCTGCTCTTGTTTTACAACTTGCTTTCTTTAGGGTGTCAGCATAATACCCTAACTATTTATAAAACTCTTCTCTTTATAATAATTAATGGAACTACTGGTAAAAAATAATTTACTACTCTTTTAAAAAATGTAATTAATGTTAATTGGGAGGGGGAAACTAGGCAAGGATTAACCTATAAGTAACCTACTTCAAGGAGAAGCCTAGGTGTCGTGAAGGGCACATGCAGGGGTGGGATTCAGCTGGTTCAGCCTGGTTCACATGAACCGGATGTTAAATTTAGATCTGGTTCACCGAACCGGTAGTTGAACCAACTGGCTGGCCCCGCCTACCCTTCCCCTCCCCTCCCACAGGGCCCGTTTTGAATGCAGGTAAGTGCAGGGTCCACACGGAGGCTCTGAGAGGGCAAAAAACAGGCCGAACCGGAAGTTCCAGAAGTCCAGAAACGGGCCTGTTTCTGGCTTCCAGAGGCCTTCCGGAGCCTGGGCAGAGGCCATTTTGCCCTCCCAGAGGCACAAGGGAAGCCTCCGGACTCTGGAGAAGGCGAAAAACATCTGAACCGGAAGTTCCAGAAGTCCAGAAACGGGCCTGTTTCTGGCTCCCAGAGGCCTTCCGGAGCCTGGGCAGAGGCCGTTTTCACCATCCCAGAGGCCTGAGGGAAGCCTCTGGACTCTGAGGAAAGTGAAAAATGGCCAAACCGGAAGTTTGGGTAGGCCACGCCCATCGTGGCCATGCCCACCCAGCAACCAGGCAGAGAACCGGTTGCTGGGATTTTTGAATCCCACCCCTGAGCATCCGGTGAGTAAATGCTCGGCTCCATTTAGTCACCCTGACTCCATCTCAATGCAAAGGATTATAAGGTTGATTTAAAAAAAGACAAAGGAGAAAACCCCGACTTCAAGGAGAAAGATAAGCATGCAATCATCACCGAAGTTAACCAACATCTAAATCAGGGGGTGGTAATTCATTTAGACAACTAAATGAAAACAATTGGACTGGTCTCAGGAAGCTAAGGAGGATCAGTCCTGGTCAGCCTTTGGATGGAAGCCACTAGAAAATTTCAGGGCTGCCGAGAAGATTGTGAAGTCAAAATATATCTTTTAAAAAAAGGCACTACCACTTGTGTATTCTTGCCAAGATGTTGACGCGGTTGCGTCCATGAAAGCACAAGGAGAATGAGTGTGACCTAGCGTTTTTTCGGAAGAAAAAGTCATGTCAAGCACCGGGGAAATGCAGGCAGTTCAAACGAGTGTAAAGATTTATTGCAAGCTTAAGTTCTCTATCCCCAAAGGTGCTTTTTTTTTTTTTTTCAAGAGGCAACTGGACTTTCTGGTTTTCCTTTGAAGGTGTTTCGCTTCTTGTCTGAGAAGCTTCTTCAGCTCTGACTGGATGCTGGGGAAGGGAAGGATTTATGCTCCTGGCAGACAGCTGGTCATTTGCATCCTTTTAGAGAGTTCTTGAGGCCACTTGGAGGCTTATCTTTGTCATCAAAGAGGCGTTTATGTAAATATTGAGCAGCCCTCTCTCAATGGAGAGGGACGGATACAACATCAAGTATCTCCAGTCTACTACACAATCTTTCCAGCAGTTCCAAGAAGACTCCACACCCATTTGCACTACTCTGGTGATCCTGAGGACACAGATAAACCTCCAACGACTCTCAAAAAAGATGCAAATGACTAGCTGCCTGCAAAATAAGTACAGGTAGTCCTTGACGTACAACAGTTCATTTAGTGACCATTCAAAGTTACAACGGCACTGAAAAAAGAGACTTATGACCATTTTCCACAGTTATGACCTTTTCAGCATCCCTATAATCATGCGATCCAAATTCAGATGCTTGGCAACCGGTTCACACTTATGACCGTTGCTGGGTCCCAAGGTCAGGTGATCCCCTTTTGGTGACCTTCTGACAAGCAAAAGTCCAGGGGAAAACCAGATCCACTTAACAACTGGGAGACTAACACCATCACAGTGATTGACTGAACCACTCTGGCAAGCAAGTTTGTAAAAATGGAGCAAACTCACTCGATAAATGTTTCACTGAGCGACAGCAGTTTGGGGCCCGATTGTGGTTGGAAGTCAAGGACTATCTGTGCACATTCATCGGTGACTGAAAGAGATGTTTTAAACTCAAAGGGGCAAAAACGGGGCAAACCCAGCCAAAAACACGGATGGTGAAATAAGCAACTCTAACCTAACCCTAACCCTAACCCTATGTTTTAGCCTCCAATCATCCCTTAATCCCCAAACCAAAGAAAACATCACTGAGATTCACAGGGTGCTGATTGTGCTTTTTTGTCAACCCGTTGTCCTCAAAACAACAAGACTCTAGAACAGTGATGGCTAACCTATGACACGCGTGTCACTCGTGACACGCCGAGGCACTTTGACTGACACGCCTGTTGGTGTGGGGAAAACCTGCACATTGAGAGGCTGCCTGTGCTCTGCTCCAATCCCTGCTCCCTGCTTGTTGCGTGGAGGCGTGGTGTCACCGCTGCCACAAGATCTTTGCCCAGAGAACCAGTTTTAACCGCCATAAACTGAGGTTTGTCAGTTTCATTACCTCAGGATCGCTACAGGAGGAAAGGAGATCCATGAGGTTCACAGCCCTGTAAGGTGGCCTTCCGATCCCCACATCCTACACCTGCAGCCCTGAGACCAGGGAGACGAGTTTCCCAGCCCTGTGTGGTCACCCCAGCCCAGTCCGTCATAAACCAAATTATTGATATTTCTTGAAGTGACACACGACCCGAGGAAGGCTACACGTTTTCCCGATTTTCGACACACCAAGCTGAAAAGGTTAGCCATCACTGCTCTGGAAGGAAATCTTGGGCTCATTTCCAGGGGTGGGATTCTACCGGTTTGGACCGGTTCAAGTGAACTGGTAGTTCTGGTGGTCTTTTGGGCCCTGCCCTTTCCCGTGCTTTATTTCCTTGTTTTTGAGCACAGCTGATTTGCTTGCCGCACCTCAGCTGTTTTACTCACCGGGGCTGCAGTAGAAGGTTAAGTCTTAGAGCTGGAAAAATGGGCTTTTTTAAACACTGTGCACGTGCTCACCAACCCAGTTATTACACCAGTTGAATCGCACCACTGCTTGTTCCCCACCCCCAGGCAGATCAATAAGTGGATGAATTGCTATGGTGTGGTTGACGCCACAAATCCAGACGACTGAGAGAGGTTGAGAGAATGGCCCGCGGGCAAGCCACCTGCTGTGTATGGTGGCGGTGCAGAGGTCTCCCGGCTCCCACGTTCGGGCCTGACGAGGGGGAAATGGCCGAGGGAGTCTGCCAGACAGCCGGAGTTGATCGTTGGACTGGATGGTCTTGAGGGGATCCGTAAATTGGAGGAGCTGAGGATCATGGGTAAGGTCTCCATCTGGTAGCTTCGTAAAGAGAAGCGCAGAGGGGCCGGCGAGGTGGGCTTCGGCCTCAGGCAGGTGCAGCAGTAAACGGCGATGAGGGACCCCACGAAAATGAAAGTGATGAAGATGGAGCCAACTATGAGAAAAGGGACGTAGGTGGGCTCTGAGGAAAAGGAAACAAAATGATCAGGCTCAACCTCTGAGTTGATGGAGAATCCAATGATTAAAGATATTGTTCCAAGTATCAAGTGCTTCCCCACAGTCATATCATCCTAACCGGTCTTTTTTTTTTAATTTAATAAACTTTATTGAGTATATACATTAAAAAACAGTGAATGTGGTGGCCGTCTTTTTTATATATATTTTTTTATTTTTAACAACAAACATAAACACAACACATAACACATAAAACAACAAATAAAACCTTCTTTCAATTGTACAGTGTGTCGGTTGGTACACATGTCTTGTGCACAATATCTTTGGTCTTTTCCCCTTAAATTTATATTCATATTGTATTAATTAACTTTCCATATCATATTATATTATTACTATACAATCATTAGACTTTAATTTCAATTGCATATTATCCTTCAGAGCACATCTCAATTCTTACTAATTTTTATTCACATTATATTTTATTTAAAGATAAGCAGTTATAACATATCATTACTACTATAATATACTTCAATTTCTTATTTTTCTACGTAGCCATTGATAGAATTAATCCCATATTTTATAATACTCTTTTTCTTCTTGCTCTCTCATTGCTAATGTTAATCTGCTCATTTCTGCACATTCCAGTATTTTTTAAAATTGCTTCCTCCTCCATCGTAATTTTCTCTGGTTGGTAGCTCAACAGCTCAAGTCCTAACTAAGGACCTAGGAACTGTTCAGGTAGCATCGGAGGATATAAGCTGTTCCAAGTAGGGTGTTTTTTTGTAGAATCAGAGTATTCAAATTTGATAAATTCAGGATTTCCAAATAGCGAGGCAGCCCTTTAGGTGTTGCTCCAAGGGCTCCAATTACAATGGGGATAACACACGATTTCTTTTTCCAAAGTCGCTCAACTTCAGTTTGTAAATCCTGATACTTTGTGATTTTTTTTCTTGCTGCGTGTCTACAATTCATGCATCCCCAGGTATTGCAATGTCAATGAACCAACCCTTTTTCTTTTCAGCTATTGTTATGTCAGGCGTGTTGTGGGCCAAAGTGCCTGTCCGTCTGAATTTCGAAGTTCCACAAGATCTTGACTTTTTCATTCTCCAGAATCTTCTCAGCCTGATGTTCCCAGGAGTTGTTACTATACTCAAATCCAAACTTTGGGCACGGTTTCCAGTGAATGAATTTTAGCAACTCAGTTTCATGATGATGATGATGATGATGATGATGATGATGATGGTGGATTTGAAGACACGAGTTTGATTTCTCATCATTTATGTCTGCTTGGTAGCAGCTTTCCCTTTAAAAAAAAAAAAACTCTGCCTGCCCGGCAGATAAATCATCGGAGTTATTATCGTTTGGGCGGCACCCCGTGACATTTACTCCCCAGTTGTAACAGCACCCAGGAAAAAGGATTGCGCTCCTAACTTCTTCCTCGGTTGGGTCAAGAAAGGGCTGCGCTCGGGAAGAGGCAGAAATCCTCTTCTTCTCCAATATCTAGCAGATTTTTCCAGCGCGATCCTAGGCGTGACTACTCTGTAGTCATGTTTCCGGCTGACTACGGCTCGCCCGGCGCCCCACGCCGCGCGGGCTGGGCGGCTTCCACAAAATCCGAAGAAGCCGCTTCCAAAAGCGCTGTGAGTTGAGCCGCGCGACTTTTAACAAGAAGAGGCGCACCGCGCGCGAGTTGCGCCAAACGAGGTTCTTGACTCGAGGACGGGAAAGTGGGTTTAAAAGGGGGAAAAAAAGGAAAAAAATGCTTTAACTAGGATTTCTTTAGGATAACTAAACCAAATTGCCCAGGAATTTTTCTTTGTATTTTTCTTTGTCTTTTTTTGAGAAGAGAAGAGAAGAGAGAATAGAATAAAAGAGAATACAGAAAAGAAGAGAAGAGAAGAGAAGAGAAGAGAAGAGAAGAGAAGAGAAGAGAAGAGAAGAGAGAACAGAACAGAACACAACACAACAGAGGAGGGGAGGGGAGGGGAGAGGAGAGGAGAGGGGAGGAGAATAGAATAGAATAGAATAGAATAGAATAGAATAGAATAGAATAGAATAGAATAGAATAGAAGAAGAGGAGTGGAAAAGAGAAGAGAAGAGAAGAGAAGAGAAGAGAAGAGAGAGAAGAGAAGAGAAGAGAACAGAATAGAGGAGAGGAGAGGAGAGAAAAGAAGAGAGAAGAGGAGTGGAGAAGAGAAGAGAAGAAAAGAGAAGAGAGAATTCTTGATTTGCGACACAGAAGGAATTTGGTTTTGGTGTATATGCTCTCAGTGTACATAAAAAATAAAAATAAAACACATTCATCAAAAATCATGATACAACCTTTAGTGATAGTCATAGGATAATAAATAAGCAATCAAATCATACGAGGAAACAAATAAAACAACATAAATGGTAAAGATACCAGAGTTAGTAATTTAATTGCAGTTTAATGACATTGCAATTAAATCACCCCCCAAATGGCTCCTGACCGCCCAGCAAAACCTTCCAGTCCACAAGATGCACGGATGGGGAAGAAGACCCCCCCCCTTTCTCCAAAAAGACCCTCCGGGGGATGCAACCTAATGTTGCCTGCTGCAACTGGCACCGAGCCTCCCTCCGACTCTTCGGGCGAGATCCCCGGCCAGTAGTATCCTCCTCCTCCGCCTCCTCCTCCTTGCAAAGACGCGCAAGGAAAGCCCGGCAAAAACAAAATAACACTCCCACTCGCGCGCGAGACCCACGCACCCACCCCCGGGACACTCACGGGCGCTCCCCGCAGGGGGCTGCGGCTCGGGGTCGTCCGCGCACCCGCCTTGCTCCAAGCGCGCCTCGCTGGCGGCGCAACAGTAGCGCAAGACGCAGGAACCGCAGCAGATGGTGGCGTCGGGCGTGTCGAAGCGCTCCGGGCAGAGGAATCCTCCGTGGGACCGGCCCTGCGCGTCTCTCCAGCCGTGGCAGTACTCGCCGGGCGGGGGTCTCTGCGCCCAGAGCCCCCAGCGCGCCGCCAGGCAGCAGCTCAGCAACAGGCAACGCAGCCACCGGGCGCCCATGGCTACTGCGCCATGGGGATGCTCCGGCTTGCAAAGAGCGCCCCCCCCTCCCCTCCCTCCTGGGAGGCCCCTGGGCAGAGTAAGGGGGGGTGGAAATGCTCCCCCCTCCGCTGAGAACACCCAGCTAGCCCCTTAGGGAAACGACCCCCCCCACCTCTCCGAAAGGGCAGTGGTCAGCCATCAATAGGAAGGGTGGTTTTCCACTGGGGTGGGGGGGGGGAAGTGGCCAAAGCATGCCCCTGAAAGACCAGAGCAAGGGGGGGGGGTCTTTGTGGGACAGAAGGAGGGAGGGCCCCAGAGGTCTGAGAAGGTTGCAATCCAGCCAGGGCCTTCTTATGGGCCCCACCGGGCAAATTATGGGCCTCTTACTATGACAACTCCTCACAGGAATAAAAATGTAAATGGGTCGATCAAAGGAAGCATTTATTTGCATAATATATGTATACTAAGATGATATACAAGGGGCATGGAAGGGTACGGATACAGATTTAACGGAGTTGGAAGGGACCTTGGAGGTCATCAAGTCCAACCCACCCACCCAAGCAAGAGACCCTACACCATTTCTGACAGAGGGCAGTCCAGTCTCTTCTTGAAAACTTCCAGTGATGAAGCTCCCACAACTTCCAAAGGCAATTTCTGTTCCAGGGTTTGATTGTTGTCACTGTCAGAAAAATTCTCCTTATTTCTATGTTGAATCTCAGTTTCCATCCATTATTCATTGTCTGGCCTTTGGGTGCCTTGGAGAATAGCTTGATCCCCTTCCTCCTCTCTGGGGCAGCCCCTCAAATATTGGGAACACTGTTCTCCTGTCTCCCTTGGCCCTTCTCTTCCCTAGATGAGCCAGGCCCAGTTCCTGCAACCGTTCTTCAGATAGATAGGCAGGTAGGTAAGTAGGTAGGTAGATGGAGAGAGAGAGAGAGAGAGAGAACAGAATACAGACTAACAGAGTTGGAAGGGACCTTGTAGGTCATCTAGTCCAACCCCCACTCAAGCAGGTGCTCCTACACCATTTCTGACAGAGGGCAGTCCAGTCTCTTCTTGAAAGCCTCCAGGGATGAAGCTCCCACAACTTCCGAAGGCAACTTCTGTTCCATTTGGTTGATTGTCAGGAATTTTCTCCTTATTTCCAAGTTAAATGTCTCCTTGTTCAGTTTCCATCCACTGTTCCATGTCTGGGCTAGAGGTGCTTTGAAAAATAGCTTGACCCCTTCCTCCTTTCTGGGGCAGCCCCTCAAATATTGGAAGACTGCTATCCTGTCTCCCCTGGTCCTTCTCTTCCCTAGACTCGCCAGACCCAGTTCCTGTAACCGTTCATTGTGTTTTATCCTCCAGTCCCCTCATCATCTTGGTTGTTCTTCTCAGCACTTTTAGTATGTGGCCCCTGTGCTCGTGGGGCCCACAGCAGTGGGATTCAAAAATGTTTACTACCAGTTCTGTGGGCATGGCTTTGTGGCCGTGGTGTGTCTTGGTGGGCGTGGCTTGGTGGGTGTGGCAGGGGAAGGATACTGCCAAATCCCCATTCCCTCCCCACCCTACTAACCTGCTTTCCAGTTCCGTTCTCCTGTGCAGAGCAACCAAAGGAGACCCAGCCGATCAACTGGGGAGGCAGAGAAGAGATGGGGTTGGCAGGGCCAGGCAGAGGTGGTTATTTGCTGGTTCTGCAAACTACTCAACATTTCCGCTACCGGTTCTCCAGAACTGGTCCAAACTGGCTGAATGCCACCTCTGGTTTTGTGGAATGGAGAAGAAGGGAAACTTTGTGGTTCTTGGTGCTCTCTGAGCTGGACGGTTTTCTTCCAGGCATCTCATGACCCAACTAGATAACATCACCGGTGTCAGACAGGGGTGGGTTTTGTGGCATGGAGGAGAAGGAAGACTGTGGGGTCCTTGGGGCTCTCTGAGCTGGGCTGGGGGTGTTTCTTGACCCAGCTGGGTAATATCAGTGCTAGATGCTCCATTAGAGACCTACAGGTAGCCCAACTCTCTTCTAGCACTGATGATGTTACCTAGTTAGGTCACGAAATGTCTGCAAGAAAACCACCCAGCTCAGAGACCCCCAAGGGCCCCATAGTGGACTTTGCAGAGAGGGAATCTGATCTCAGCTTGAAAGTTTACCTAGACACCCCAAATTGGAGGCCCTCGAAGTTTTTTCCCCTCCCTGTCTCTCCTGCTTGGCTGTCAGAGCAATTATGACTTACAGCCATCATGCAACGAGCGGCTTGGTTAACGGGGCAACCTCTGCCCCACCCCCACCCCCCGGCCCCCATCCTCCAGTCACTTCCTATTTGCAATGCTCTGGTGCCTGCATTGCTGGGATTCCCGCGGTGGAGTGTGCAGAGATGAATAAGCCATCGGGAAGCGGGGATTTAAGGGCCGCTGCGTTATTCCATGCTGTCAGTTCAAGGAACGAGAAGCTGGCCAGACTGAAGCGGTGTGTGGTACTGGATAAGCCCATTGACATAATGAGCACCAATTGAGCCTCAAATGTCTGCTAAGCGAGATATTTGTGTGTGTGTGTGTGTGTGTGAATGGATGTGTGTGTGTATGGATGTGTGTGTGTGTAGCAACGTTTTGGCAGAATCTCATCTGCCATCATCAGGCTTCTGTATTGTGTTCGTCTGAAGATTCTGCCGAAACGTTGCTACAACTTTAAAAGCACAACTATAATGACGTGGGAAAATACCTGAACAAAGCTGAATACCATACATAGATATATGACTATATGGTATTCAGCTTTGTTCAGGTATTTTCCCACGTCATTATAGTTGTGTTTTAAAGTTTTTAAAGTTCGGCAGAATCTCATCTGCCATCATCAGGCTTCTGTATTGTGTTCGAATGTGAATCAGACTTTCACAGCTGTTTCTGTTTTAAACTTGGTGCTAGCCTACTGCTGTGCCAGAATGGTTTTTTCTTCATCCTGATTGGTTGGGAGTCTTGGTCTGTGTTTATTGGTCTTGGAGTTTGCTGTGTTCTGCTTGATTGGTGTTTCTAATATCTTCTGTCTGTTTTGTAGCTTTTTTTTGTCTTGTCTTGTATTGGAGACTTTTAGTGCAGCTTGGCTCCGAGTAAATGGACAGCTATCGTTTATTAGGAAGCTAGGTTTCATCTAGGTGCCTGGTTGGAGTGTGTTTGAGCTGGAAGTATCAGGGGGGATCTGTTTGTGCCCAGGTGTTTGGCTGGCTTGTGGTGTGGAGATTTTTTTGTTTGTGAGTGCAGGCTTCCAGATAATTGACAGTCTGGTGGAATCCCCTCTTCTATTCATGCTTTCAGGTCTTTTTTCAATCTCTATGGCTTCTCTGATAATTCTGTACCTGGGGTTTTCTATAGCGGCTGGGGTTTTGGTGCCATTGAAGTGGATGCTATGACCTGTGGCTGTCATGTGTTGGACTAATGAGGAAGTGTGTTCCAGCTTTTTTACTGCATTTTTGTGTTCATCTAGGTGGGTACTTATTCTTCTATTGGTCTGTCCAATGTATGTAGCAGGGCATGATGCGCAGGGGACTTCATATATGCCTTGGTTTTCCAGGTCAATTTTATCTTTGGGGTTTCTACGGATGGCTACTATTTTTCTGTCTTTTTTGAAGGCAGTCTTGATGTGATGCCTGTGTAGTATCTTACTGATTTTATCTGTAGTACCTCTTATGTAGGGCAGGACAGCTGTTCCATAGGTCTGTTCATCTTCTAGGTCTCCATTATGTCTCAGTGTGTTTTTGTGAATCAGGCCAGTGATTTTTCTTTTGTGGAAGCCGTTGGCTGTCGGTACTTTAGTCAGGGTGCATAGTTCAGTCTTAATGTGTGTCTTGTCTGTCAGGTGTTTGGTTCTGGCAATTAGTGTTTTGGCCATGGAGTTTATCTGTGCTGGGTGGTGGTGGGATTGGGCGTTGAGGTAGCGGTTGGTGTGTGTTTTCTTCTGGTGTATGGTGTGTCCTAGTGTGCCATCCTAGTGTGTTTTTTTTGTAGATTAGTACATTTGGGAATGGTAATTGTTTGTTTCCGTTTCCATGGTGAATTTGATTTTGGGGTGTGTGCTGTTTAGGTGTGTTAGGAAATTGTTTAAGTTTTCTTTTCCATGGGGCCAAATCACAAATGTGTCATCAATGGATCTTAACCATAGTTTGGGTTTGTGGGTGGCATTGGCTAGGGCTCTGGATTTGAATTCTTCCATGATCAGGTTGCAATGACGGGTGACAGTGGTGATCCCACAGGGGCTCCTTCAATTTGCTTGTATCTTTGTCCTTTGTATATGAAATATGTGTTGGTTAAGCAGTGTTCTGTTAGTTCCATTAGGTGTTTGGGTAGTTGGTATTTATTTTTGATGATTTCAAGAGTTTCTTTTATCAGGACTTGAGTGAATAGTGAAACCATGTCGAAACTTACAAGCAGATCTTCTTGTTCCATGTATAGATCTTTGATCATTTCCAAGAGGTGGTATGAGTTTTGTACATGTGAAGCTGCTGCTTCAGCATGGGGCTGTGGCTGCTTTGCTAGGTATTTGGCTAGGTTTTGTAGCCAAGCCACACTAAAAGCCTCCAATACAGGAACACAATGTTGCCAGCCAATCAAGACAAAAAAAGCTACAAAACAGACAGAAGATATTAGAAACACCAATCAAGCAGAACACAGCAAACTCCAAGACCAATAAACACAAACCAAGACTCCCAACCAATAAGGATGAAGAAAAAACCATTCTGGCACAGCAATAGGCTAGCCCCAAATTTAAAACGGAAACGGCTGTGAAAGTCTGACTCACAGACGAACACAATACAGAAGCTTGATGATGGCAGATAAGATTCTGCCGAAACGTTGCTACAACTTTAAAAGCACAACTACAATGACGTGGGAAAATACCCGACAAAGCTTAATACCATACATGTAAGTACTCGCGAAAACTTAAGAAAACATGCACACACAGAGATTCATTCATTCATTTATTCATGTATGTATGTATTTATTTATTTATTAATACAGGTAGTCCTCAACTTACCACAACAAATGAACAC